ATGACCTAATGGTTAGCGTCTAGGCTACGTATCCTAGGGTCTAAGGTTCACGTCTTGTTACCGCAAAATCACTGTCTACACTTTGTGACCGTGGAAGAGAGTAATTGTCAAATCTCACCATTAGGCTAAATAATCCCAAGAGTTGGTGGTGGGTGCTGCCATCTTGTCTATCATTTCAGAATTAAGGACGGTTTGCGCAGATAGCCTTCGTGTACCTTTTCGAGAATATATGATACAAACAAACTAAACCTAAACTGTTGAAATACTTTTATAGGTAGAATGAACAAAATACAAAAAAAAAAAAAATAAGTAATGATAGCAGGTTACTTAATTTTAATATTTTGTTACCACTTCTATGGATTTATCTCAATTTTGAAATGTTGGTTGCATTTCTGAAATACTTTGACAAACTAGATAACCCAGCGCATAGATATGTCTGCGAACTATATTCTGTTAAAATGTATTCTTCCAAGCAAACCCCTTCTCTTTATGAATTACTTCATTCAGGATTTATACGTTATCAAGAAAAAACTGAGTTTATTAGATATTATGACAATTTATGTTTACCTTAGAACATATTATGGTTACATTTTAAATATTTCGATAATACAGCTAATTTTGGTGTTTCATCTTCGAAATGTAATTTACAATTGAGTAGGGCACGAACACTTCCCACTAAAATTGCAAATATTTTATCCAACTAATATGTTCAAATGTTGTACGTAAATTTTTAAAGACATAATACACGGAGCATTTTTTACTTCCCTAGGTTTACTACGATGAAATAAACATATACGTCAAATGGTCTTTAAACTTAGATTATAAAGCGAACTCTAATGGCACGAATAAGTTTTTCTATATGACTCTAAAATCAGTAGCTCTTTGACGATATCAGTACACTTTTAATAATACCCAATACAATTCTGCAATTGAACATGTTCAGAGATCTGTATACATACTTTTGTTTCTCAATTTTTTATTTGTCAGATATTGCTCTAATCCTATGGTAATCACGTTGTGTCTTAACAAATATTATTCAGTATAACCTTGGATTTCTTTACATTTTTGCACTAACACGTTAACATTTTATAATAATGTAGGTACGTAATTCAGGGAATATCTTAGCAAGCAGAATGTTCCATTATAGTCATAACACGTCAAGTGACTATAACCAGACTGGTACAATCCTGTTTTTCTGGAATAAGTTTCCGTTCATTCGGAACAATAGACAAAAAATAAGACATCTTGAAAGAATGTCTGATTTAAAACATAAAATAGCTGACCACTTTTATTTCTCTATGATGTACTGTAGCATATAGCCTTTAGATTTATCTGTGAACATATAACAAAACCTAGAACTGTTCATCCTTGAGAGGTACTTGTCTATGTAATAAAAACCATGACAAGCAAGTCCCATAGGGTTTCTGTAGTCAAAATAAGAAGTTGGTGATTCAAAATTTCTCTGACTTCGATTAGCCGAATAATTAAACGTCATTACAATTTGAGGAAAATGACTTACAAGCAATTATACATAAAGCAAGGGAAGCCCAACGCTTCCAGAAAACGGTAATAGTAGCCACCGGATGGCTTAATTAGTTGGAATGAAGCTGCAATTCGAAAAATTAATATATTTTAAAATTTATCTAAAACCCAAGTAGGAAATATATTAATTAAAGAAAACTGAATATTTAGTCTGTCGTCTGTCTGGGTTTTATTTATTTTTGGTATCATGATATATATTTGTAATAATAATGCTTGGAAAATAGACGTTTACAAAAACAAAAAGATGTTACATACTTACACAGTAGTTGTAAAATTGTATTCGTGTATATTCTAATCATTCAAAACAAAGAACGGTTTATGCGATTTTTAATAGAATTATCATAGAAAAGTCAGTAATAAAACAACTGCAGTAAGTTTAATGTTTTAAAATGATCCACTCAGTTGTGTTAGGCTCATTCTTGACCATTCTTTAATTCTGTGATTACCGGATAAAGGAGCCAGTTCAACACCTGCAGAAAGTATTATGATTCATTATAAAGCTGTCACCTATATTTACAAAAAACAAAACTTAAAACTAAACTTAAACACGTAACTGAGGAAAACAAAGACAATTATACGTTTCACAAATACTTCCTTCATTGTGATCATGGGTTTTCCAGTACTGGCCATAGTCGTAATAAAAAAATATTTATGAAATGTACAATTGTCTTCGTTTTCCTAAATTTTGTAATTATGGAGTTTTACCAAGTATCGGCGGTTTCAAATATTAATTATATCAACCTTAATAATTTCTTCTGTCAAGTTTAATCAAAAATTCATAATTGAGCCACTTTATTGTTTCAATTTCAACAAGAAAACTCGCTTAGCTAGTTACGAGGTTATAACTTTTGACATTGTTGCAAATTTTTCTTTATCGTGGTTTTTACTGATACACTTGTAGCTGACTATACAAAATACAATTAAGGGAAATATCGACCCAGTTATAAGAGGGTTAATTATTAACAAATTTGAATCTTTTTAGTATTCAAAATAGGAAAATCATCTGATTTATACAACAAGTAAAACAGAAGAAAAAAAAGTTATCCGGGTATGAGGCACTAAATTTTGTACTGGATTTATTTAACTTGTACACTATGCCGTTGGAGAAGTTTAATACGCCTAATCAATTATTCAAGAATCTATTCGGTATAAACATTTATTTTTCATTAAAGTACAAATGATTCCTTGAATCAAGCATATTTCAAATTACTCCGTTTTTATGTGTAGTTTTGGTATTTTTTTTGTCATCACTCGATTTTAGTCGTTAAAAGATGAGTTTCCTTATCATTATCTGAATAGTTCAACATTTTCTTTGGGTAATTAAGACCATTCAATTAAAATATTAACTTCATAATCAAACCAAGTCCCTAAGTGTGACCCCCTAACCTGGTCCTCTGGTGGGACAGCGGTAAGTCTACGGATTTACAACGCTAAAATCATTTCGATTCTCCTCAGTGGACCCAGCAGATAGCCCGATGTAGCTTTGCTTTAAAAAACACAAGCCCAAACTCCTACACTTGACAAAATCATTACAATGTTGTACTTACTACTGATGATATTTTTCTTTATTTAAAAGAAACTCTTCATTACAGGAAGAATGGCATAAATGACATACAATTCCACATGAAAACTCTCAATATAAATCTGGTTACATATTTAAGTGCTATCAGAAAACGAAACATTAAACCACATTATTTGTCCTAAACTAATCACTTAGAAGAAGATAATTCATTTCATAAAATTGATAAATAATTTTTTCTCCCTTGTCTTATCCATTAACAAGTGTTCGTACAATGAATGCCTCACCTGCTGCAAATGTCTTAAGTGTGTGATATCGTAACCATAACGGTGAAAAATGTTGGTGTCATTAAGAACTTAAAATGAATACTGCATTATAGAACAATGAATTGGATGCAAATGTTGTTTCAACGACTGTAGGTAATTTTGAACATATTATTTATTATAAATAATGGTAAACAGTTTGTGTTATTGTAGTGCATAATTATGCTGTAACACAGTTAGTATAGGTACAAGAACATTGAATGACTTGATTTGGAATGGTTCGTTGTGGACTCGGAATTGATCCTTTTCGAGAATATTGTGAATTTGGAGAAATTAGATTACGGCAGACTTTATTCCGGACTCTACGGAAACTCGGTCTTTTAATAGATTTTTCATAGGTGGAAATAGCGAGACATGGTGGAAGATCTGCAGCGCTAAATATATACAAAATGATGTGAAACTTCACCTATAAAGGACTCAGTAACAACAGTGACCTGGATTGGTATTGTTTTCAACACACCCAAAATGTTTTCTTGACTCCATATGATCACATCTTTATCCATGTAGCTCGATCCTCACTGCCAATTAGCTATTGAAGAAAAGAGGACCCAAGGACTCTTGGGACCAACACATAGAGCTTAGGTGGTGTGACCCTGGAGTTGCGTCAGCTGTGGTGGGAAACAAAAACCACTCGAGTAGCACATATTTGATACAACTGATCAATATGGACTCTGGCCACAACGTCGATTCACAAGAGCACTGCAAGATCACGTGAAACTAATGCTTGTTTAAAATATTAAAAGGAATCCAAAAAATAAATAATTGCCCCACAAAACTATTGCCATATGATGAACAGTGTTGTTTAATAAAGTCGGTTTTGATTCAAATTTCTGTCAACTTATAAAGGTAATGCATAACGCATAATTGTTTTAAAAGTATAATTTCTG